ATGCGTCATCTGTCTTGAATTTTCCCCCACAGCTCCCCGAGGGAGAAGAGGCTGGAAGACCTTCTATGCTGTGTTAAAAGGAATGATCCTCTACTTACAAAAGGTTTGTTTTATTTTGCACCCCGGTATTTTGGTCATGATGGCTTTGTCTGTGGCTGAACCCAATCTGTTTTGTAACTCGTTGTCATACTTGAGCTTCTGGGAATTTACCATAACTAAGGCTGACTTGGATTATCTGCCCCCAGACTCGGGCTATCTGCCCCTGGCCCAGATTATCTGCCTGCTCCCAGCTTGGATTATCTGCCTCCTGACTTGGGTTATCAGCTGCTGAAACTCCTATCCAGACCTTGGTTGCCCTTCAGTTTGACTGTGACAGTTGTACAGGGCCAGGGACCACACCTGGAATATTGTGTACAGTTTTGGTCTCTTTTTCTGAGGATGGATTCTCTTGCTCTTGAGGGAGTGCAATGAAAGTTTATCAGGCTGATGCCAGGGATGGTGGAACTGATGTATGAGGAGAGATTGACTAGGTTGGGATTGTTTTTGCTGGCGTTCAGATGAATGAGGGGTGAATCTCATAGAGACTTATAATTCTAACGGGATTGGACAGGGTAGATGCAGGGAGGATGTTCCCGATGGTGGGTGTGTCCAGAACCAGGGGTCACAGTCTGAGGATTCAGGGTGGACGATTTAGGACAGAGATGGGGAGATATTTCTTCACCCAAAGAGTGGTGAGCCTGTGGAATTCATTACCGCAGGAAGTAGTTGATGCCAAAAGATTCAATGTATTCAAGAGGTGACTAGATGTAGCACTTAGGGTGAATGGGATCAAGGGTTACGGGGAGAAAGCAGGATTAGGCTATTTAGTTGGACGATCAGCCATGATCATGAAAAATGGCAGAGCAAGCTCGAAGGGCTGAATGGCCTCCTCCTGCTCCTATCTTCCATGTTTCTGTGTAACCCACAGCCCAGTCCAGCCCCCCATCCCTGTGCCGTCATCTGCGATCTTGAGATCATCCCAAACTCTGCTGTAGTGTGTCCGAGCTTCCACCAAGCCCCATGGGGCTCGCTGACCTCACATAGTGTCCCAATCAAGCATTACTTTGTTTTCCAATTCCTCCATAATTTTGTTCCCCTTTATCGCTGTCATCTCCCCCAACCCTATTCTGGCCTTTGGAGTTTCCCCATTTAAAATTATTCCACCATAACAACCAAATCTTCAATTGTCATGGTGCTA